GGGAGGGGGGGGGGCATACAGGACTGCTGCAGTATACAGTCACAGCAGTGTGATAGGTGGTGCAGTTGTTCATTGGTTCATTGGCTTTCCGGCAGGGTTAGGAGGTAGAGTAAATGGGCAGTATAGCAAACTCCCTCATGGCTTCCTGCATACATTTTTCAGCACCGGGGTGTATTTCTCTGTGATACATTTGTCCTCTGTCTGAACCAGGTCCTCCCTGGCATTCCATTAAAAGAAATTTAACAGCCTTTTCCTCTGTCTTCCTTCCCCTCAGATCACCGCTTAAGGAGGGGTCAGTGAGGGACCGTGCGAGAGGAATACATGAAGGGCAGGGTGGGGGAGGGGGTGGCAACCACAGCGGCAGTACCACCAAGGTCAAAGTTCACACAGGTAAATAGATTTTTTTCTTTTAATCCACAGCTCAGTGTATGTGCACGCTCTTTGGTTCCGTCCTGGCTTTTTTCCCCCCCTGACACGGAGCAGACTTGGCACGCAAAGGCGAAGTGAGGGAGTAATGTGGCTGGTTTTGATTGGACCCTCCTGGGCTGGCGGCCGGGGAGGAACTGGGAACTGAGCAGTCTGCAGCTGCTGTTTATGAGGAGCTGTGCAGGATCTTGTTTGGCTCTGTCCAAAAAAACCCAGCCAGTCCCCACCGAGAAGCCCGTGACCACTGTCAATACTTGAAGAATTGAACAAAACCATGATGCTATGATTCAAGAACCATTCATTTCCCAAAAACTCACATTTTCTGGTTGTTTCTTTTTTTTTTTTTTTACAGTGGACTGATCTGGGAAAGTGGGGAGTATGGAAAAATATTCATGTGTTAACACAGAGTGACAAAAAGTTAATGGAACTGTAGCTTACCGATTTAGTGCATTTTTGGACTGTGTAACCATAGCCCTGACTGTAGACTCTATCCTACTTTACTTTCTAAAATTAACTACATTAACTACAGGCTGCTTTTTTCAGGCTGTTGTTTTAGGTAGCACATTATAGTGATTTTAGTTTAAATTGAATATCAGCGAACCAAAAATCATTTTTGAAGTATGTCCAGAGTGGTGAAAAACTCTGCCACCTAGCTCCAGTTTTACACTCCTTTTGCCTTTCCTCCTCTATTCTTTGCTACCAGGGATTAAGGAGTACTGGGGGTGGTGGTGGTGGTGGTGGTGGTGGGGGCAAATGGATAAATAAAGTGCTGGTTAATCTTCTGCAGTACGGTGTGTGTGTGTGTGTGTGTGTGAACACTGAGCATTGGCACCACCCGGGGAACATCTGCCTCGCACAAAAACACACACATGTGCACGTATATGCAGATAGACAGACACAGATACTGTACACACATGCACGACTAGCTGGGATCAGCCAAAGCGATAAGCACACGGACGTCAGAGCACAGAAAGCGACAGGTTTAACACACATACACACACAAATACACGCGTGCCGACCATCGGCGGAGTGACAAGTAATGCACAGTGAAAGAAAGAGGGACGCTGCCAGCCGACTGAACAGTGCTGCAGAATGTGACAGCACATGACTGCAGAGACATGAAAGTATAGGAAGACAAGTTTTACTGCGTTTCTCTGCTGCTGTCGTACTGTGTTAATCTTGCCTGGTATCCATGGACTCATATCTGTTCTTTTTTTTCTCCTTCTCTCACATTAACACATACACAGCGCACCAACAGTTGATCAAACAACTGTGCAATTGAGGCAGAATTTGGCCAGACAGCCAGCCAGGATGAGTAATGTAGAGCTCCTCCGGCTTAATTTGTTTAGAAAGCCTATCATCGCTGCAAACATGTTACAGACTGTTGCCGTTTACAGAGGAGTATTTTCCCCTGCAGCTTTAATTGGATGCATTTTTAATGTTAGCACCACATAGTGTGACCACTGTTGACACTGAACACTGTGGTCGTTGTGAGGCGAAGGAGTTGAGATTGAGGAGAGAGGAAGAGTGTGTGAGTGAGTGTGTAATGGCTGGGTGGATTCCTTCGGTGTGTCGTGTCCACACTCAAGGTGAAATTTATAGTTCTGCGTTAGAGGGTTATTGCTTAGCTACGGAGCCTATGCACTTAGCCCCTGTAGCTGACGTGCACATTGCAGCACAACAGTTACCGCTGAAACCAGTTGAGACTTCACAAAAACAATCTGAAAAATGTAGCGTGGACAGACATTGTTGTGTATGTGCACGTAGCGTTTTCAAATAAGCGGATGTTGTGGATGTAGTCTGAGCATGTTCCAGTTGGGTTATGCTCCTTTGGTGTGTTGTCTGCAAAGGATGTTGCAGCTCCGAGGGATTAGCTCACACCAAGGAAATTAGCATCCCATTCCCAGCCGTCTTTTTCATTTTTGTCTATATCTTTCCCTCCATTTTGCGTCCCACACCCTCTTCCGTTTTGTTCATTTCTCTCCCCCCCCCTCCTGTCTTTCCATCTTTTTCTTCTGCAGAGGTTTTTCTGAGGTAAATCTATTCATATGGTGGATAGAAGGGCATAAGAACTACTGCGTGTATATAGATATTATACTGTATGTTTGTGGCAGAGAGCGGGTGAGAGACATAGACGAAGACAGAACGAAGCAGAATATGAGTCTAATCAAGACTCATTCTCTAAGGAGTTTCACCTCAGGGCGCTGCAGCTTAGGAGACTGATGATATTCAAACGACAGGAATATGTATTTTTATCCTTGCTGGTTATATTCATTGTGGTTATCGTCTTATAGCCCATTTTTCACATACACAAGCTAGCCTTTTTTGGATTGTTGCTGCAAGAGGCATCTCACAAACAAGCAGAGGTATAAAGTGGTGAGAGTGGGAGGATGAGAGAGAACATTGTCTTCTCTTTTCCAGCTTAGGGACAGAGCAGAACAGGTTGTGTGAGGATACTTGCTATCCTTAACAACGTCTAACACTGCCTTAGGGCCACTGATGCAGCTGAGAGTTGTGTTGTACTGAGGAATATTTTCAACACATTCCTCAGTGTCAGATGGCATTCCCAGTACACTATAATTACCACACTAACACTTACTTTGTCATGTTTTGACATAATTAATGTAATAACTTAGATTCATCTCTTATAATGGTTTTCTGTAATAGATTTAGATTACTTCTTTTTTATTCGTTCACACAATTATGACTCATTAAACCTAATAAGTAATATACATGGGGTTGGTGTACAACTGAAATAGATCAGGAGGCATCAGGAAAGTGTTATCCTGGCTTTGGTTTCTTGCTTTTTCTTGCTTTTTCACAAAAGTAACATTGCATTGATGAGATCTACTAAAAATAAGTCAGGTGGGACAAGAAACAGCGGCAGTCAGATGATCATTCAGGATGTAAACAAACCCCCAGGCTAACCAAATTTAATTGGAAGACAAAACAAAGGAAAGAATAAATTATCATCCAGATTGTCCGTTCTAAACATTTTCTTGTGCAAAGATATCATCATGTTCCCAGATCTCAGCAATTACCAGAGTACAAAGTTATCATTACCAATAGATATAGTGGCCAAAACAACCAAAATAAGACCCAAGTTATAATAAACCGTAATTTTCCTTCAAATATCTCCAAATGTTGATGTAATCTAAAATGATATCACTCCAGTAGGCCGCCATCTTTGTGCGCCGGTTGGTCCATGATGTTATCCATCACTGGGTCTCTGTCTGGCGTCGTCAATTACCCAGAGGAAAATAACATTAGAGGCCTGAATGGGACACGGAGCCGTGGCAGGCCTGACATGGCTGTGTTATATGATTACACAACCTGTTGGCTGTCCGCCTGTCAAGTGTCTCCTGGCTCTGATGAATGGCTGTAATATGCCGCGCATCACAACACGCCACGCCACACACTCATTAATGGCTTCTCGTAATGGCCGGGACGTTCCTCCAATGCTGCGGCAGGAGTCACAGAGGGAAGGGGGGGGGAGGAGGAGGTGGTAGTTGTAGCGAGAGAGTGAGAAATGGCGTTCATGAATACTCCAACCTTGTCTCTGTGTTGCCATTCAAGGCAGTAAACAAAAGAAACATGGTGTCCTCATTTGAATAATTTCACAAAACGGTGCGGCAAGGCGCCAGCATCACAGCCACATGTAACTCTTAATGAATGACGGATAACAGAAATAGGATGAGGACAAAAAGCGAAGGGAGATGTAAGAATTATTATTTTTACAAGTGCCACACATATGTTTCTCAATTAGATACATTCTTGTCCATCTGTGGCCTATTTGCATAGATTATCAGAAATATGTGCAATGCGGCGTGCACGCCAGTGTGGGGGAACATTACAATGGAGATGCTTGAAAAAAAAAAAAAAGAAAGAAAAAAGAGAGATTGAATCTGTCGGATGCCATCTGAAGCTTAGCTGATTGCTCTTTCTTTCCGTGAATTAGGAGACACGCTACCCAAGATCCTCCAAACTACTCCACTCTCAGCTATAACAAACAGATTTGATTCTCATAGAGACACTGCTCCGAGAGGCTTTCGAATTAAACGGGTGAAAGTAGTTCTGAACAAGCTATTTTCTACCGAGTCTATGGGGGAGATGCTGTGTACCACTGGGTGTGTGGCAACAAAGTAAAGTAGTTTTTCACAAAGTGCACTGGCCATAGGGAAGTTATCTAAAACCTTCATGACCCTAAGCCACATTAGTTGGTGGTATTTATGGCTCTGGCAGACTTTTAGTGTGAAATGCCTACTGGGAAGCGTCAGCCACATTGCAGGAGCCCCATTGATAAGCACATTCTTTCTCTCGATTTGACACGTCTGTGCTCAGTATACTGTGCCTCAGCTTTGTCTTGTCATATATTTTGCGTTGTCTCACATTAAAGTCAGTATTTTTATAGAAAGAGACACAGATGTTAAGAGATTTTCTATTTCACCTTGCTCAGATGCTCAGACGTGCCAGCATTTTCATTGCTCGATACCGTGGAGGAAAGTACTGAACAGTGCTGCACCTGCAGTGTGTGTATGTGAGAGAGAAAAAGACAATCTCTGTATCCCTCTATCTGTGTGCCTGTGTTAGTGTATGTGTTTTTTTCTCACAGCTTGAGTTTCTCAGTTTGAAATGCAACACCTGCAGATGTGTCTTGTAAACTGCAGCCCCCAGCTTCTCTCCCATTCAGAGGGGACCATTGAAACAAAGCAATTAAAGTAGGTCTCTACATGGGGCGAAGATCTGGTGCGTGGGTGTGCCTTCTTGCGCATGAGTGTGTGACTGATTTTCCATTGTTTTAAACCCACAGTCTTTAAACTGAACAGCAAACAGACCTACGTTCCTGGAAGAGGACAGCTAGGCGCCAATCACAACATTAGCAGTTCTGTCATATTCATGTCTGTTTAAATATGGAGGTCAGAGGTCAATGACAACCTGTTGACACGGAGTAGATTTATGCAGGA